TCGATTTGCTTTCAGTGTACTGATATTAGACTTTTTGTTTATTTTATGACAATAATATTATTTAATTATATTAAAATTAATTTGTGACCTATGTCAAAATATTTCTTGGGACCGCCACTGGTTCTAACTCATGTATAATATGAGAAAACTCTGATTTCTTTAGAATGTAACATTTGATAATAACAGTGTTTAGTAGAATTACATGAGTTTAGACGTTTTACTCGATACATGTATAATTGTTGTCTTCGTCATCGCACTTACTACAACAGATACATGAAAAGTGAAGCATGACCAGAGAGGAAAGAGTTAATCTCATTCCCCGGATTGGCAGCGTAAGCAGTTGCAGGAGAACCCAAAGCCTTGAGAGAGTAGTGTTAGCCGAGCTTCATATCCCATGCTTGCATCTACATAACATATCCGAAGCTCTTCAGACTTCACCTGCAATGTAAGCAGTGTAAATGCCCACAAGATTCATGCTAACAGGGAATCTCAGTTTGTAAGAATAAAAAGACCTTCTTCCACATCGCGAAGAGTCATCAACCTTGCATCTGCATTCTGCAACCACAATATGTGTGCATTTGGATCTGTGCACATTCAAACTAGTCATCACTTCATCTTCTTACACTTTGTGTGGCGTGTAAGAATACATGTTCTAAAAAGTCAGGCAAAGACTGACATGGATTTGAACGATCTTAGACCATATTTTCCAGAGAAAGGCATTGCCCCGAGTATTGAATGCTTTGACTGATTGAGTTAATTTTACTTTGAAAAATTAAATGATTTTATTCGACGATAATACAAAAATTAACAAAAGTAAATTAATTGCAAATGAGAAATATTATAATCTTGAAATGTACAACTACATAACAAGTTTTATAAAATATAATTTTACAAATTTTGTAATAAATATTTATTATAAATATTATATTTAAAAGGAAAAATTAATATTAATTTATTCAAATACTATATTTATATATTAAATTATGTCATATAAAAAATATATATAAAAATGTCTTGTCAAAATTTTCATTCTCATTCCATATTATCATTTATAATCATATTTAAACTGCTTAGTTTTATCAAATCAACCAATAAAACAAAATAAAAATTTCAGTGTTTTTTATTAAACTAAATGATCAATTAGTATGTACATTATATCTTTTTTTTTAATAAAAAGTCTCTCTTTTCTGCTTATACTTCTTACTTTTCAATATTGAAAAAAGTGACAAGTTAATGGTAGTTGCTACAATTAGAAAGATCAATTAGTCTTCCCGAAAAATCAACAGCCATTGTTTTTTTGGACCGTAAAATATGATTATGGCTATGAAAGTTCAACGCGTGAGCAATAGATGCGGTGAGAATCTGATGAGCATTAAATGCACCGCACTTATTAAAGAAGACCGTAATGATGGCGGTTAGGAGAAGACATAGCAATTTCAGCAACCTCTCCTCTAACTACACACATGGGAGAGTTCGGGAAGGATGATACTGATGACAAAGGATAAAATTAAAAACCCGACCAGATAACTTGGAGACCCGAACCCGGGCTCGATCCGAAACCATGTATCATCTATAAAATACACTCCTCGAGCCAACGAGAGAGGAAGAACGACCTAGAACGATAACTTTATCTCCTAGCTTTATTTTCATTTAGATTATAGCCACCAAAAGCCTTATCAAGATCCCTTCGAATTGATAGAGCGCCTTGTACCCTGTTCTTCTGATATCTTCATTCACTCCGTCCAGTCACGTGTCTTTTCTGAATAGAGCGTCGGAGCGTAATCGGAAGGGTAACCCCTTTCCTGTTTACCAAGAGCTTTTTTTCTTCCTTCTCTTATTGCAGGCTGACCCATTCCCCCCAGAGTTTAAATCTCCCCTGCAGACTCATTCACAATTCCAACACATGGCATCCCGAAATTTATTTCCTGAACAATTGGCGCTAGAAGGAAGGGGGGGAGGTGGGGGGGATAACAAGCCTAATGTCGAACAAAAGAAGCGAGTCGCCAAGCCCACCGGAGCAAGGCCCCCGAGGGGATTACGCACGAGGGACTACCAACCAGAATCCCCCGATGGCCCCTCTGGCCAAGACATTCTGCCAAATGCTGAACTATGAGGATGTGTGCTGCCTCCGAGCCGATCTCGAGCGGGTCACGGAAAGAAACCGCCAGCTATAGCAGCTGGCTGGATGCGCAAGCACGCCGCCGGGCCATGATACCATGAGACCCCTGGACGCGGACGTACCAACGATTTATGTGGGCCAGAACGCACCACTCCACCCCGGTCCAGAACAACGCGGGTCATTCATGAGGCTCCCCCAGCCAACGACACTGCTGTCCCAGCCGCACACAGAACAGCTAGGCCGATCATTCCGCCCATCTGGACGAGGCCAGGGGACGACGAGCCTCAGACGACGCCATCAACCGAGCCGCCGGCCCGATGGATCTGAACTGGATCATCGCCCAGAGGATGATGGAGCATATGGCAAATATAAAAACCCGACTGTCGCTGATCCCAAGGCTATCCCCGCAGGGAAACCAAGCCACGAGGGAGTCAAATAACGACTCCCCCTTCTTAGAGGACATCGCTAATGTCAAAGCACCCAAAAAGTTCAGATACCCGGCAATGAAATCTTACGAAGGAATCACCGACCTCGAGGACTATATCGCTCAATACAAGAAAATGATGTTCTCGGCGTCACCTCCGTCGTACATCAGGGAAGCATGCCTGTTCAAAGGCTTCAGCACAACACTCTCGGGGCCAGCCCTGCAATGGCTGATCAGCATACCCAATAAGACGAGCGACTCATTTGCACAACTGTATAACCTGTTCGTCCAACAGTTTGCCAGCAGCTGGAAACCAACCTGGGGCATGGGACACTTGTTTGACGTGAACCAAGGAGTGGAAGAAAACCTCCAGTTTTACGTCACCCGCTTCAACGCCATCAGGGTGGAGATACACGGCTGCTATGAAGTCATGGCGGTGTACACCTTCAAAAAAGGACTCCTGAAAGGCTCAGGGCTCTATGATAGAATTCAGAGAGTTTGAGAGAGAGATTTTATTCAGGACTTTTTGGGGAGACGGATCCTGTACTCTTTTGAGAAGATTTCGAACCCTCTTATTCTTTTACTCTTTCTCTTAATGTAATTTTATTCAGTTATGTTTTGTGATTCCATAATCATGTCTGAGTAATCTGCTAGTTAAGTTCGGGCTTTTTCAAAGGTTGATGAAGAGATTGTAGAATCGCTACCTGTTAGAAATATCTTTTGGTTTTTCATTTCTGCTTGCTTTAAAACCGAATTTCTTACACATCATCTAGAAATCCGAAAATCATAGGTTGTTAAATATATGTGAGAGCATTATTGATAACCTGAACTAATATTTGATGAGCAAAACAACTTAGTGCAAAGAGATTTGGCTTAGAAGTTCTGTGAACAATTGAATTTGATCATATTGCATGTTTAGATTGTTAGGATTTGCAAAGAGATTTGAAACTCTGTGATTTATACATAGTTAACTTCTGCAATGAGAATTAATTAGTTATATATTTGAAATTCATGTTCAAAACGATTCTTAATCATTCCTGATTTCATGCACTCTACATTCTTGAATTCAACCTGCGAACTGTCCTGATTTAGCGCTTTTAGTCTTCTGAAACTTAGATCAAACACTCAATTTCGCTTGTTTGCTTTTACTTAATTCATTCGCATTACATATATTACATATTGACTAGCTTAATCCGAACCTACATTTGATAGTGTAGTTTGCATTATTCCTTTGGGATTCGATACCCCTTGTACTACAACTGCTTTTGCTGTGCACTTGCAGTAGTTTTATTTGGGTAAAACCTGAGCCCTATCACTAAACCATGCCCAGCTTCAATCACAATAGAAAAGAACCGAGATCAAACCACCAAAGGATCAAACCATGCGCCTAGAACCAATTTGGAGCCAAATAAGGAAACTTGGAGAAGAAATACATTTTATTCGACCCACCCTTCTATTCTACATTCTCAGAAAACTTCAGAAGATATACAAGCCAATATACAAGCCAGAAGCCAGAGTTACTTGATTTAAACCAAAGGAGAACCGCCTCTTTCCATACATGGACCTGTTGGAGGATTATTTTAATCAGACAAGAAAAGCTCGAATATATGTCATGCTGAGACATTATATTCGCCCCTCTCTACGTCCACAAAAGCTTACACGAGCCATACCACACCAGAACAAGTCAACATTCGTCCCCTTTCATCAGAAGTCAAAGAAGACCATGCCAAAAAGAAGCTTTTCTTATTTGAAGATCATTATTCATATCAAACCAAGACTGAAGATCAAAGACCATTATTATCACTTAATCTCGACCATTCATCATCATTAGAAGATCCCCCCCCCCCCCCCCCCCCTCCCCCCCCCCCCCCCCCCCATTCATTTCGTAGCAAAGAACCACCCCAAATCCAACATTCATCGCCAAAGTTAAGAACCTCCCCAAATAAGCCTAATGGCTAGTTAAACATTTCCCATCATTTAGCTTAAATCTTGCCTTTGTTTTTAAAACTAGTTACTATTTTATTCACTTTTTCTGAGCATTATATAAGCTCAAGTCCTTTTTATTTTCATGTTACTAAATAATTATCAATCAAAGTCTTATTTTGTTTTAAAAGAGAGTACTTTTTGAATCATTATTGTTCCTGCAAATTAACAAGTTCTTTTGTGGAATCAGAAAGCTTTTTAAGGCGTGTAGAGTCTAGCACTTCTTGTGAGAATTATCCCTTGAAGAGTCAAGAGTCTAACCCTTGTGTTTAGGGTCATCAAATATAACCAGCTTATCAACCATCAAGCTATTCTTCCATCAACTAGCTTCAAAGCAATGACTTCTAAAGAGTATACTTGAACATCATTTTCAAGTCTACGTCACGCGGACTTCTGGACAAGGACTCGAGGAACTCGTGAATGAAGTAGTCGTCATTTCCAAATTGCAACACTGAAATTTAGTGAAATTGCTAGGGTGCTGCATTGAGGGAGAAGAGATGATGTTGGTGTATGAGGTCATGCCAAAGAAAAGCCTAGACGGCTATCGCTTTGGTAACTTTTGATCACTTCATTACACTATGTTTCATCTTGTATTTTGTTTATTGTTTGGGGGAGTTTAGGGGGAAGAGATGATGTTGGTGTATGATTTGTGATTCAGGCCCACAGAAGCAAAATATTCTTGACTGGAAGACGTGGCTTAACATAATCAATGGTATTTGTAGAGGTCTTTTGTACCTTCATTGAGATTCAAGGCTAAGGATCATACACAGAGATCTCAAAGTTAGCAACATCTTGTTAGATGATAACTTAAATCCGAAGATATCAGAAAATGAAGCCATCAAGAGTTGTTGGAACATAGTAAGTTAACATTTTACTAATCTTTTTCAAAAATACAGAAAACGTTAAATCTGCTTTAAAATATTATGTTTTGTAGCGGTTATATGTCACTGGAGTATGCAATGCGAGGTTTATTCTCAGAAAAATCTGATGTCTTCAGCATTGGAGTCATACTGTTAAAGATTGTGAGTGGGAGGAAAAACTCAAGCTTTTATAACAACGACAAGAATTTGAATCTTTTTGATTATGTAAGTATACTTAACAACTTATAAACTTGTTCTTACAAGTTACAACAAGTACGTGCTCCTAAGATTTTGACATTAACTCTATGCTTTTTTAGGCTTTGAAACTATGGAATGATGGGCAGGCTATCGCTCTTGTAGACCCTCGAATCTACGATGAGGCTTTTGAAAATGAAATACGAAGATGTGTGCACATTGGTTTATTATGCGTCCAAGATCACTCAGACGATAGGCCATGCATTTCAACTGTGATCTCAATGCTCGGTAATGAGAATGTAGACCTCCCGGAGCTAAAGCAGCCGCTGTTTATAGCAATACAAAATGCTTCAGATGGTGTATCATTGTTGCAAATAGCATCCATCAACTGTGTGAGTCTCACATCAGTCTCAGAACGATAGCTATCGACATTCAGTTTCAGTTTACGAGTGGAAAACCCTCTGTGTTGGGTTTGAAGTCACACTCTTAGAACTGATATATAGTTTGCTGGAATCTTGATTTCCACCTTTTTTGGTTTTAGAATGAACGAAAGTAAATTATGAACATCTACGGAAGTATATATTGGTATCAGTAGATCATTAGTAATTTAGTACATAGTAGTAATATCCTTGAATTCCAGTTTCTTGTTCGAATTTTATGGATTATTGTTTTGATTTTCTTTGAGCATATTGACTAATATTATAAATTAAATTTGTGTTAAAGAATTTGTACCAAACTCGGCTGAAGAGGAGTTATGAGTGCAATTGTTTGAGTCATCAGATCATGCTAGTGTTGTCACTGTGGGATAGTTTTCCTTCTCGCACGCGTGTGGTGGTCCCTGCACAACAAAATTGTGTTTTGTGATGCAATTAGGTTTTTTTATATATAAAAAAAATGTGTAACATTCCGGTTTTATTAAACAGGTCTGTTATTTTTTTTTAATGTATTGAAGTCTAAAAGCTTCTTAAGCCTTTTTAAGTCTATTAGGGCCTTTTTAAGTCTATTAAGTTATAAAAATCTTAACCATAGAGTTCTCTTCTCCTCTAAAGAGAATTAGAGAGTCAGAATTGTCATTACAATTTCCAGATAAAAACCCTAAACTCTAGCTTTCAGCCATCGCCACCCGCCGCCGAGGGAAAGAGGATCCTCTGTCACTGTTCGTTTGCGCTGTCTTGCCGTCTTATTACATTTTCTGCTTCTTGTCGTTAGATCCCAAAACCTTAACCCTTTTTGTTTTAGTTGTTCATTCGATCCGTGAAATATGTGGATGTATCTATGCCTTCCCTTCCGTATTATCTTCATCTCTTGTCTCTAGTTAAGGATAAGCGAATTTTCTTCCCCTGTAGATTGCGCTTATGGCGTAACTTGTAGTTGTTTGTTGTGTATTTTGATTTACTTTTACTTGTTTCTGAACATAGATCTAGGACCATGGTTAATATTGTTGATTGCTATTTGGTGTTTGATTGCTTGTGAGAATTATGGGTTGCATTGCATATAGAGTGTTGAGAGCACAATTGCATTAGGAGCCGAAAGTGATGCAGTTCCACTTGTCAGATTACTAAGATTGCGGTAAATGCAGTTTCTACCTAGACATGAGGGCCGAGAGTGGTGCATATCCACTTTTCGGATTGTTTAGGGTTACAGTAGATGCAGTTCCTACTTATACCGATAGTTGAAAATGATGCAGTGCCACTTGTAGGGTTGTTGAGGTTATGGTAAATGCAGTTCCTACCTAGACCTAATAGGATTGCTTGTTGGTGTTATGGTAGATGCAGTTTCAACCTAGATCTATTATGATTGCTTGTTGATTATTGGAGAGTTGTGAATGTTTTTTTCGTTTAGATGATGGCTAGCGACATATTTAGGTTGTGATATGTATGGTGGACCACATGTATGTATTCTCCTGGGTAATCTAAATTACTCATCCCCTCTCTGTCCCTTTCTCCTCTTTCGCAGGTGATCAGGAGCAGTAGCAGTGATCGTATGGTGGTGGTGGTGTTAGTGTTCATTAGTTCGATCTTGGGGACCTAAAACACTTCGTTTTCTTTTTAAATAGTTTTTTTTTTTTAAGGATTTATTGAGGTTATTTTGAATTTAAGTTCGGTTTTGCAAGAGTATTTGAGTTATATTTATGAAAGAATATTAATTTTGAGTTGAAAGTGTGGTAACTTGGTTGGAAAATTAAGTGGATAGCACGCCGTTTTAAAATGATAAAACGCGGGTGTTACAAAATAAATTATGCAAATTGCCATATTTGCTTTTCTAACGTGAACCCCTCCCCCCCCTCGCCGAAAAGTTAAGCTACGATTTCGTGAGCCTCTTGGAAAACATTTAGCGACGATATCGTTTCCTGTATAGATTTTCGGCCAAAACCGACAAAACTTCCTTTTGATCAAATTATTCTTGTTTCTTTGAAATAATATTTCATCAATATATGGACTTATGGAAGATAAAAATCACCATAACTTGAATACTTTCTGGCGTAAGGGAAAAAAAAAAAAAAATTCAGTCTTGAAATATATATATGGTAGTATGCTACTAGACATATTCCAAAAAGAAAACCAGATGGTAGAAGAATAAATCTTGGATTTTGTCAACGACCCAAATAAGAAGATAGAAAATTAGAAATTGATTGACACATACTTTTCTGGCCTTACAAAAGTCACATTTTTCCCTCAATAATCCAATGTCTATATAAAAAACGTGAAAAATTCAAACTATATTTGTCAACACGACTGGGCTAGTTCTCCTTAGAATCGTTGGTATTAAATATTGGATTATTTTCTTGAATTTCAACGATATAATCATATAAATACATATATTGATGACTTTAAATTAACAATTAGTCTTCCTGAAAAATCAGCAGACTTATAAAAAGAAATAAAAAATCAACAACCACTACATTTTTATTTTTTCCATTAATTTCCTTCTTGTAATATAAGATCTCCCAGGATCAAATCTCGCCAAATATGGCAGCATTTAACAGAAGCCTTAATTTGGCATCGTATCTTGCTCCACAAGCAACTCAATCACCAGAAACAACACGATACAAGACGGAGACTCACTGATCAGCGAGGACGAAATTTTCGAGCTTGGATTCTTCAACCCCAAAGACTCAACCTTAAGGTATGTCGGAATCTGGTATAAGAACATCGAACCTCGAACGATTGTCTGAGTCGCGAATCGAGAGAAGCCATTGTTAGATAAAAACGGAGCTATGAAGATTGCAGATGACGGGAACTTGGTAGTCGTCAACGGCCAAAACGAGACCGTTTGGTCAACAAACGTCCCGCTCAAGTTGAATAATTCTGTGGCTCTTCTGTTGAAAACTCATAATTTTTTCCACTTTCCTTTTATTTTTATTTTTGTTCTGAAATTCGACTGTAAATTTGGTTTATGTTTGCTTATTAGAGGGGCAATTCATAAATTTTTTCTTTCGAACTTCAATTGTTTTAAGAGTGTTGGGTTTGTTTCTTTTTTTGTGTATATCAAATCTCTAAGTTGGTTTTGTTACTTGTGCCTCATGGCGACAAGGACTTCCAGTTATGGGCAAAGTGCGGTTGATCGAGTACCATGGAAAAACAAGAAACTCAGCCACTTAAAGCTTATGATGTAGCCAGTGATCTCTTAGTGGAAGAGAAAGAAAACCTACGAGATAACCAATATCCAAAGAAGAAGGGCAACAAATCTTTATCGGCCGAAGGAAGTATTGACTCACGAGTAATACTATTTTAATATGTGATAAATGAACAATACTATTTTTGTTTGATCCTTCAGCTTAAAACGTATGGAGAGATATGAATGTAAAAGGGTACAAAACTATAGGAGAAAGGAAGAAAGATTTTTGAGAAGCAGAAGCATTTGTATAGTTGCACCTTCTCTCCGTATGTGATTTGGGAAAAGGGTGTAATGTGTATGATACCAATAAATCCTTAAGATTTATGTTCTTTTTAAGCTGAAAGAGATTTTTGATGTGCTTTTTTCTTAGATACTGTATTATACAATTAATAATGATATATGAGAGTAACTTGAATATCTGCTTCAAGAGGAAAAGTAGGAGATGATCGTAATGTGGAATATTCTGCCATCAAAGAGTTTGCAAGCCTCTTTGTGGGGATAACAGTGAATGAATTTGAGACATGGGAAACCTCTAAAGTTTTGTCCCAATTGATATAGTATAACCATTGCACCTTGTGACTCAAGGTACATCTTTCGTTTCTTGATATATTGAGTAATTGGTGTGTATTTTTTAATGTGATATGGATTCTTCTTGATGATAGAATTTAAGTGACAAGCACATGGTTTAATGCAGCTCAGTGTTGTTGCTGCTCATTGCGTTTGAATAATAAGTTAAGAGTACTGTACAGTAGTGTGAGTTTCAAAGATCATGAAGTCGTAACTACACTTTCTTTAAACCCTATTGATCTGTTGTCAAACAAAAAAAAACTGTTGATCATAAGAATGTTTCTTTGTGAATTTGTCTTTGTTTTACATTTTATTTACGGTCAGTTTAGTTGCGTGTTGCTTAAGAAATAGATTTACTTTTTCACACAGAAAATTATAAAAAATATGTTCAAGCAACAATTGAAAATATGATGAGAAATAAGATTAAAAAACATATAGCTTCATGTATGTTTTCTGAATAAGACGTTGCTATTATATAGAATCAAGATAGTTTTGACAAGCTAATTAAGATAGTTTTGGATCCATTATATCATCAATATGTTTTCTTTCAAATCGATTAATTAGGCCAACGTTAAGTAGACAGTAATATTACACAAGTAAAAGTTAATAAAACTGAAACATCGTCTACATTATAGACAAAATTATTCCACATAATTTGAGACAACATACACCAAAATGTGTAGTGATTGCCACAAAAATCAAACTGTGAAAAGTTTTCACACTAAGATTTTTTCTTCTCGAATGGGCAATATGAAATCCAAGAAATGAGATTACTTTTTTTTCTCCAAAACCAGTTTTTTAATCATACACATTTATACATTGATATTTCTAGACTAACATCTAGAATAAGTGTGAAGATTTTGATAACTGGTAAAGACATAACGCTCCAATGTAGAACAATGAATTTTGTTTAGAGCGAGTTTTAGCAAATACTTGATCACATTTTTGCATTCTCATTTTGTTTTTTTTTTCTTTTTAGCTTTGATTTATTTTAAAAAAAAATTTATTTATAACATTTTTTATAATTTTTTTATAATACGTTAATTTATGTATCAAAACAATGTTTTTGTTACATAAACTTAGTAAAATTAAAGAGGTTAAATGAAAATTAAAAAACTAATCACAATATAAATTGGTATTTTTGTATTACTCCCGTGTTTGGCGCGGAAAACCACCTAGTTATCATTTATAATCATATTTAAATTGCTTAGTTTTATCAAATCAACCAATAAAGTAAAATAAAAATTTCAGTGTTTTTATTAAACTAAATGATCAATTAGTATGTACATTATATCTTTTTTTTTAAATAAAAAAGTCTCTCTTTTCTGCTTATACTTCTTACTTTTCAATATTGAAAAAAGTGACAAGTTAGTGGTAGTTGCTACATTTAGAAAGATCAATTAGTCTTCTCGAAAAATCAACAGCCATTGTTTTTGTTGGACCGTAAAATATGATTATGGCCATGAAGGTTCAACGCGAGAGCAATAGATGCGGTGAGAATCTGATGAGCATTAAATGCGCCACACTTATTAAAGAAGACCGTAATGATGGCGGTTATCAATTAGTATGTACATTATAACCAATCAAATTAAAACAAATAAACATTTTTTATTAAACTACATTTTCAATTAATAGGTAGAGAATATATACACCCTTCTAATATTTACTTCGCTCGATCATATCTAAGAATCACATACAAATATACTACTTAATAATTTATCACAATATTAAATACAAAATTAATTAACAACATTTTTATAAAACTACAATATAATTATATCTATACAATATTATAATTGTTGGATATAATAAGTTTGCTCCCTTACACGCGTGTGATCCCTGCATAATGAAATTGTGTGTTCGTGATGCAATTGGGTTTTTTTTTTCTTTTTTGCTTTAAATGAATTATGCAAATTGCCGTTGCTGCTTCCGGTGAACCCTCCATTCAAATTAAAAATAAAATAAAATTAAGCTACGATTTCGTGATGCAATTAGACCATCTTCGAGTTTCCTTATATTTAATGTTGCTCTCGATGACAAAGTGCCATATTGATTTGTTCGTTACGTACCTATATACAACAAAAACAAACCCCATATGCTTAAATCTTCCTTGTTAATTAATAGAGTAAAAAGAAAAACCCTAGATATATATCATGTAAAAAAACACGTTGCTAAATCGTGTATCTGTGCATGTATCAATATATTATATATGTTACAATGAGAAAAATAGACCCAACGCGTAGAATGAGAAATCCAAATACAAGGTCATATTGGCTGCAAGGAAACTATTCAGAGTGCTGATGAAGTAAAAAGAAACAAAACAATATAGTATATTAGTATTATTTACTAGACATGGTGCGGACTAGTCGATTATTATACAAATCAACAGTACTGTTTCATAACCACTGAATTTTTAAAAACTTAATCGGTGTTAAATATCATTCAAAGAATCTTATAAAGTTTTTGATCGTCTCATGTTAAAGACAATTAATAGGTAACATACTGAAATAAATTTCGCGTTCGTCACATCAATTTTATGAAACAAAAATATATTCTTTGTGGCTAAAAGAATCATTAATTAAAGGCTTATTTTGTTCATTTTATTTAAGTTTGTCGATATATATATATATATATAGATATATAAGAAGAAATATGAAAAATTTCAGATTCCCCACAAAATAAGAAGAAAATAACTTTAACTAATTGAAAGTTGCAAGAGAATATGATAAATTTCAGATTCCCCACAGAACAAATATCTTTTTCAAACTAACACCTTAGCACGTCCTCTAAATGTGTTTGAAAGTGCCACACACGAACCCAAATGGGTGGAAGATAATATACTATTTTATAAAAAATCGATTATATATAAATAGCTTCCATGTTAACCTATATCATAACAACAACAAGAAAAAAGAAATAACTACAAAAGCAGCTATGAGTAAGATGGGATCCTCAAGAACGATGGGATTAAGCCATTGCATGGTTTACGTTGTGGTTTTTAGTGCCATTGCTGCTGCAGCATATCCTTACTCATCACCTCCAACACCACAGTATAATTCCCCGGTTCATCAACACAAATCACCACATCTACCCAAAAAGTATTCTCCATACTATTCGACATCATCACCTCCTCCACCACAATATAGAAGACAAGGCCCTAAATACACGCCACATCCAAAACCGTATGTGCATAACTCTCCACCTCCTCCACCATATTACTCTCCTTCTCCAAAGGTTCACTACAAGTCTCCACCACCACCATATGTCTACAGCTCTCCACCACCTCCACCATACTATTCTCCTTCTCCAAAGGTTCACTACAAGTCTCCACCACCACCATATGTCTACAGCTCTCCACCACCTCCACCATACTACTCTCCTTCTCCAAAGGTTCACTACAAGTCTCTACCACCACCATACGTCTACAGCTCTCCACCACCTCCACCATACGTCTACAGGTCTCCACCACCTCCACCATACTATTCTCCTTCTCCAAAGGTTCACTATAAGTCTCCACCACCACCATACGTCTACAACTCTCCACCCACCTCCACCATACTATTCTCCTTCTCCAAAGGTTCACTATAAGTCTCCACCACCACCATACGTCTACAACTCTCCACCACCTCCACCATACTATTCTCCTTCTCCAAAAGTTCATTACAAGTCTCCACCACCACCATACGTCTACAACTCTCCACCTCCACCATATTATTCTCCTTCTCCAAAGGTTCAATATAAGTCTCCACCACCACCATATGTTTACAGCTCCCCACCACCTCCACCATACTACTCTCCTTCTCCAAAAGTAAATTACAAATCTTCTCCACCACCATATGTTTACAACTCTCCACCACCTCCAACATATTACTCGCCTTCTCCTAAGGTCACTTACAAGTCTCCACCACCACCATATGTCTACAAAACCCCCTACTATTGATTTTTGATTGGTTTCGTTACCAAGTTACATGCTTGGGATTATTTCTTTCTTTCTTTTTTGAACTAATGTTTTCGATTATTTCTTTTGATGATTTTGCATTTTGATTCTTCTGTTGTTGTTTGTTCGATTATCTTGTTAAGCTTTTATTAAACCAATAATGGGTTTTGGTCATTTTAAAATGCATCTATTATATTGTTTGATATTTGTTCGAATTCATTGGAAGCTTAGAGTATTTGCATTTCACTATCCGATATTAGGAAATTTTGTTTAGGCTCTCGGTACATTAGTTGCATATATTAAAGAAGCATTAAAAAAAATGTTGATGTATAGATTTCTTTAGTGATATAATTGTACCTCAATGATAGTTGGAATCTTCAGGCGGACTGAAACCGTTTTAATAATTAAAAAAACATCTCTTTGTATAAGCGTTAACAGATTCTTTTAAAAGTTGGGAAACAAAAACGAAATGTCTCTTACCATAAAACCAAAGTATGAGAAAGCTCATATGGTGAAGGTATGTTTAATCAACAAGATTTTATTTTGCTCCATTGTGCATAAAAAAAAGCCCAATAAAGATCATGTAATAAACCACATTGCTCAATTGTATGCATCCTCATAGCATGTGAACTCGTGTTCTAACTCATGTAAAATATGAGAAAACTCTGATTTCTTTAAAATGTAACATTTGATAATAACAGTGTTTAGTAGAATTACATGAGTTTAGACATTTTACTCGATACATGTATAATTGTTGTCTTCGTCATCGCACTTACTACAACAGATACATGAAAAGTGAAGCATGACCAGAGAGGAAAGAGTTAATCTCATTCCCCGGATTGGCAGCGTAAGCAGTTGCAGGAGAACCCAAAGCCTTGAGAGAGTAGTGTTTGCCGAGCCTCATATCCCATGCTTGCATCTATATAACATATCCGAAGCTCTTCAGACTTCACCTGCAATGTAAGCAGTGTAAATGCCCACAAGATTCATGCTAACATGGAATCTCAGTTTGTAAGAATAAAAAGACCAAACCTTCTTCCACATCGCGAAGAGTCATCAACCTTGCATCTGCATTCTGCAACCACAATATGTGTGCATTTGGATCTGTGCACATTCAAACTAGTCATCACTTCATCTTCTTACACTTTGTGTGGCGTGTAAGAATACATGTTCTAAAAAATCAGGCAAAGACTGACATGGATTTGAACAATCTTAGACCATATTTTCCAGAGAAAGGCATTGCCCCGAGTATTGAATGCTTTGACTGATTGAGTTAATTTTATTTTGAAAAATTAAATGATTTTGTTCGATAATAATACAAAAATTAACAAAAATGAATTTATTTCAAATGAGAAATATTATAATCTTGTGTAAAAACTCAAGTTCGATCTATGAAAGAACTAGGATTTGTGGATTTAAAGAGAAGTTTTTTATTAGAAGAAGCCGGAGCTTGAATGAATACACAGAAGTTTAGGTCGTCGGAATAAGAATGCCGACCTAAACTTTTATGGAAAGTAAATCGAAAGCTAGAACAACTAGATTGCTTAGTTTTCCCTAGGTCTCGATAGATGATTGTTGGATGATCTTGAGAAGTCGAGGACTTACCATATTTATAGCAAATCAGGTCGGTCTTGATGTATGTTTAGAATAAGAAAGTCTTTTTGCCGACAAGAAGGAACTTCCTTTTTCCCGGGTTTGCTCGATAAATGGAAGGTTTCCATTTGTTTAGCCGACCCGAAACTTGTAGAATGGGCCAACCAGAATTCATATCGGGCTTGTAGAGATGGTACGAATCTCATCTCTAACAGTTATTCCCCCCCCCCCCCCCCCCCCCCCCCCCAGTTCGGCAAGTGAGGATGCGTTTGCTTGGCGAATTTCGAGAAATGTTGCTTTGATGTGGATTCTGGTCGGTTGCAAAAGGTGTTAGAAAAATATAAAATGTAAAATTACCTTGAGTTCAGATCGGTATGATGTCATGGGTCAGATGGAGAACTTGGGCGCGAAAAACTCCCGCCAAAAGTCTTGTAGAGTAGACCTAGGTCTGCGCATGCAGAACTAGGATTAACACGTGTCAAATGTTAAGAGGAAAGGGAAGGCACCGATTAAAACAAAAAAGAGGAAATGTGAAAAGGCCGCCGAGCTCATGATGACTCTCGATAACTATCCATACTCTTGTATAAAAAGAGGGACTCGGTTCTCATTTCTTCACTTTCTGCAATTTTAGCGTAACTTTGTCAAATTTCAGGTTTGCTCTCTTTTCTCTTCTCTTTATTTTTCGTTTAGATATTTTCGACCAGGCCTCCGCCGTATTTCGTTCTTCCGCCGTCAGTTTGGTCAATCGTCAGAGTCCGATCAGAGAATGAGCAAAGTCGTGAGAATCAGGGAAAACCGATTTGAGTCGGAAAAAGGCAGGTCGGCCTAGGAAAAAGCCAACGAGATCGGCGTATCTGTTGAAGAATTTCGCTGGATGCAGAGCGACGACCAGGCTGCAAGGAGTCGATCTAAAGGAAAGAAGGTCGCCACCGAACCGTCGAAGTCAGATCGATCTTCAGATGCTAGTGAACTCTCTGCGTTAGATCAAGAATTTCAGGAACGCGTGAGGATAGAGAATCATCAGGCGGCGGCTGATAGATTTCACGCCGATCAGATCAGAACCGTTGGTAAATCTGGGGAGACTTCTAGATTGGAGTTCGAGATCCCAGAGCTGCGGGATGAAGCCGATGTGAGGGGCGGATCTAACGAGATGGATATCTCGGATGAGTTGAATGTGATCATCGCGGAAGAAGAAATCAATCAGTTCGGCATAATTGACATGAATCCTCCCGTGCCGAAGAAAAGAAAGGGGGAGAAGGTGATTAAATCGATCTGCGACAATCCCTTGGGAGTGATGCCAACTAAGTCAACCATGGAGTCCCCGGTGACACTGAAGAAAAAATGTAACATCGGCCCTGAAGTGATCTTCATGGTACCGAGCCCGTCGGAGCGACCGTGGGACGCTCCTAAGGGATGGCTATGTCTCCACAAGTGCTTTTTCAAGGACTTCCATCTCTGGTTCCCGCTCTCGAGGCTTCTTCTGGAATTTGCTGCCCACAAAGAAATGCCGATCTGCCAATTCACCCACGCGACGATACGTCTGATTGTCAGCATGCTAATGATGTCGATCAGGCATGGTATCCCGTTGAGCCAAGCAGCGTTTGATGCTATGACGAACACCAGACGCACGAATACGAATTTGAGGAACCGGGGTTCGTATTATACAAGCATGAAGACTCGGTATAACATTGTGACTGGCGGTCATAAAACCAAGGTGGCGGATTGGAGAGATCGATACTTCTTCGTGTTAATCAACAAGTTTTCCATCGCCGATGCTGATAGAGATATCCCTATCAGAACGAAATGGGCGGAGGTCATGGGTAGAGACATGACCGATATGAAATATAGCGTAACTATGATGATTTGATTTTCTGATCAAGTCGTTTAATTTTTATTTTGCAGGAAACAGGCCTCTTCCTTTCGTTGACGATCCTCTCGATATCGAGGATATCTCGGACCGATTCGCGGCGATCAGTGCAATCACTTGGTCGGAGATTACTGAAGAGAGGATCGAAAGAACAAAAGGTACGGATCCTATTTTTACTTGTTCTGCACCTGGAAATAGTGTGTCAGGTCGGCTGACGCACTTTACTTTTCAGCTGCTCTTCTTCGTCACCAACACCGACGTGAAAAGATGAAGTCACTCACCTTCAAGGACCTGTCAGCAGATTTGGAAACTGCGTTTGGATCTCCCGAGGTCCGAGGTCCAAAAAACCCTGCGGCTAAGGAGTCCGAGCAAGCAGCTCAAAAAAGGATCGAAAAGGCTAAGAAAGCGGCCGATAAGAAGGCTACTAAAAGAGCAGAGAAGGCTCGAAAAGAGGTCGAGCCAGAGGGGCAGAGTGATGATGCCCCGAACAAGAAAGGGAACCCTGAAGATTCGAGGAAGGGAGGTTCAGAAGGATCTCCTGAGGGCTCGAGAAGACCAATGAGGTCTCGAGCCGAGAGAGAACTCCGCCCGTTCGGGTTTTCCTATGAATTCCGAGGAGACATTCCGCTGGTGAACGATTCAGTGGCATGTCTGGACTACTTTCTTAAGCTAAGGGACAACCCAGTGGGCCCATCAACTAATCCTCGCGACTTTATTCGCAGTGAAGCGATTGTGCGCTTTGCGCACGAACAGGCCAAGGTAAGGTTGCAGGCGAAATTTTTTATTACTTCCTTGTACGTGGGATTGACCTTGAATATTGATGTTTTCGCGATCACAGGCCTTGAGCACAGCACTGACTGTGATGAACGATTATGACCGGGATGCGAAGAAATGCCTGGCCGAAGAGGCCAAAAGGGAGAGATTTCAAGAAAATCTCGAAGCCGAGCAGAGAAAGACTGCTGAGCTGGAGGCTGTGCTTCGAGAATCTGCTGAAGAGCTGGAAAAACTTCGAGCCGGTGATGCGGAGAAGAGCAAACTACTCAGTCGAGCAGTGAGAAGGATTCAGAAAGAGAGGGTCGATTCTCAGAAGAAGCTTGAGGCTGAGCTGAAAGCTGCGGCTGAAGAGAAACTTGTCTTCGGGCAAGAAGTAGCAAAGCGTGCGACGATTGCAGTGAACAACCATTACGCGAGTCTGGTCGCAAAAGTGAAGGAGTCGCTCTCGCGTAAGGAGAAAGCCCACGAGTTGATCTCGATGGCAGGTCAGTGGTCGGAGCTAAAAGAGCACTTGACATCGTTCGTAAGCAAGGTTACAGCTTCTTGGCCCTGGTGGATGAGAACGTCGAGAATCTTATCGCTGAGAGTAAGACACAACTTGAAGCCTTCGAAGAAGTTAGCTTTACGCCGATGAGCTACAAGTCCAAGAAGCGGAAATCTTCCTTGAAGTTTCTAGCGACATTCCATCTGACGGGGTTAAGATCTTAGCGGAAGACGACTAGAAAGAGGCCAACGAGGAAGATGATCAGGGAGCCGAAAAGCCTAG